AGCAAGTAGTGGGGAATGGCTGGGGGTGCTGACAACACAGCAGACAGTAGCAGGGATATCAGAGTATAAGGGCTCTAGTAGAGGGAGGGAGGCTGTGGGAGGGTGCTACCCGGGAAGTGAGTGTATAAAAAAAATTCTTCAAAGCATAAAAATTTGCTCCTTAATAACTAATAGATGTGAAAAACATTACCATTAAAATCTACCTGATGACTTTATATCCATGCTTTAGATGCCAAGAAGCTCAGAAAGTAACCGACTGTGACTAGTAATAATCAGATATATAGAGATTAGAAATGCATGTGCAAACATCTAAGTGTTAATTGCATTAAAAATGAATTTTTCTGTATGAAACTGTGTATTTTAATAATGAAATAGAAATTTTTTTAAAGATTAAAACCTCAATTTTATGTCTTATAGGGTTTATACTGAGAAAAATATTGTAACTGTATTAATTCAACTGTAAACCTAAAAATTTACAGCCAATTTTGAAAGAGAAACATCTTAGCTCTGGTATTGGTTATTGAATATGTCAGTGCTGTTGTAATGAAATGCCTCTTCTAATTATATGGTTATTAAATAAATAAAACAAAACAAAACAAAAATAAATAAATAAAACTCCCACAATTCCATTCTTAAAAAAAAAAACAAAAAAAACTTTTTTCAACAGCATGCTTTTCCAAAGATAAGAAACACACTCAAAGGATGCAGTGACCCTATCTGTCAAGTGACACAGGAAATTTGTTTCCTTAAATTTGTTTCAATACAGGATTTTACACAAAATGTTGAACTATAATCATTAGTACATGTTGAATCTTTAAACAACTGTGGATTTAGGCATTACTTCCTGTAGGTAAAACAGTTAATGCACATATTTTAAAGTCCTGGTAAACCAGAGACCATTGATCCTTTCTTTGCATGGGTAGTAAAAATGACATAAACTTCTCTAAGACATCGATGAAGACTAGAAGCCCTTTGCTAAACCCTGCCCTTACTTTACTTCTTGTTTCTGACAACATCCTGTGGGCTAAGACTGCATGAAGTCTGAGAGAAGCTCTGATGGCCTGGACTCCCTAGTTTGCTGGACAGAGCTAGTTCAACCCTGTGCATAAGAGTTTCTGAATCCTTCTTCCTCTTATGTCAACTGGGTTCTTGAGTCAAGTAACCCTGGTGCTTTGTGGCACATTCCTTAGAAATGAAGAATGATCCTGTCCTAGTCCTTTTCTACATATGTAATGCACACATTTTCAATCCCATTATTCCTCAACAAAACCCTACCTCATATATAACAGAAAAAGTAGTTGTTTAAAGTGTTAGTCTTAACTCTCACTGCTGAGGTTTTTTTTTTTTTTTTTTTTTTTTTATTCTAATGTAAATTTTCTTTCCTGTTTGGTAGGTGCCAGGATATTGAATAAAATAACCTTTTAAATCCATCATAATAATTAATTTTAAATTTTACAGTAGTTTATCTATGTAACCTCTAAAATGGGTGCTTGTATTTCCCTATTGCAGCAGGGTTTTGGTAAATTCTAGGATTAAATCACTGAGTCTGAGAGGTGCTCTATAAGGGAATTTTGAACATATTTCCTTATTTTTCATTTAAGAAAGCTATTCTGCTTGCCTAGTAAGTGGAATCAGGCAAATTTTATTTCCTTAATATATACATAAATGTCAGCTACTACAACATTGTTATTTTTTACAATAACAACATATTAGAGATCTTCAGCTTTAACATGTTTGTGTTACTATTTATTACAGATCAAAATGATGGGAACTGATAGCAGCTGCCCGAATAGTGAACCAAACTTTTTAAAAAAACATCCATGTGATGATACAAAGGTAATGATAATTTGGAGTTTATCATATGAGATAGATTTTATAGAAATGTCTATTATATGTTTTTGTTAGATAATTATATCAATAATACAGCCATTATCATTTATCTATTAAATTACAGCATGGTCTATTATACTTTCATTTGTCAGATAGCCCTGTGCTCACCAGACAACAAATAGATAGTAATTTGGTCTTTTGGATTCCCTAATTTTCACCTTAAAAATACTAGAAATACTGAATTTAAAGTTCCAAATGTCTCCTTTTTCCCCCTAAAATTCTTATGAATAAAAAGACTTGTTTAAAAGATTGCTCAAATATCTATATCAACACAAGTCATAGGTATAATTTAGTTGTAGGCATTTTGAATTTTTCTCAGTGTTTGCTTATATTTAAGACAATGCCATTGATAGCTGGTAAATTACAAGAGACAAAATTTCCAAAAGTGTGTGTCACTTCTCTCCACAGAAGCTGATATGCTCTTTGATAATCTTTCTAAATCTCACAATAACTGTTAACCTTATGGCATCACATAACCAAATTCTTCTTGATTTTTTAATTTTCTAAAAAAGCCTTAAGTTTTAGGTTACATGGCTGTTCATTTTTTAATTAGCGATTTTTCCATAGCCCAAACATTCAAAAGTAGCAAGAAAAAGCGCACATACCTTTCATGATTGTTACTTCCAACAGCCTTCCCCTTTGGTTATCTTGTTAAAATTGAATAATCTCGTAATGTGTTCACCCATAAACGATAAAGTCGCACGTACATAATGGAGAAAAGAGACTTCTAAAAGTCAGATAATCATTAAACCAAATTCTAAGCACTTCATGCTCTCTGTCCCCTAGGAGCCAAACAGTTCAGTCCTGTTACTTGTCAGTCACGTGATTAACTGGAACAGAAAACTGAGGAGGAGGTGGGGCATTGTTAAGCATTCCAGCTCTGGCTTTAGGCTGACTAGGAAACTAAAATTTCTTAATATATTTGAATCACAACCCTTTTGACTTTTTTCCTATAATAGGAAGCTGCTTTTCTAAACCGTGCTGCTCGCAAGTTGAAGCAATTTCTCAAAATGAATATTAGTGAAGCTTTCAATACCCACTTACAAAGAGTTTCACGAGGCACACTAGAAGTGGTGAACTGCACCAGCAAGGTAAGCAGGGAATGTTTACTATAATGAAAATATAAGTCATTCCTGTCATTCCTGTCATTCCTTGGTGGCTATATCCATTGTCACAGAATTCTAAGTGCTGTTGATCACTTGAGGTTGTGATATATTTCCCCCCACTCCAGAAGAAAGTCTCAGGCTGTGGAAAATTACCCATCCCTGGCTAAAGGCAATTAATAGTGAGATTTTGAAAGGAATGTGAAAATTAAATAAAGCCTTCATTGCCATAATTTCAAGGAGGCTAAAATGATAAGTTGAAAGTAATGGTAAATTTTTATCTCTAAAACACATTAATAGGTTTAATTTATAGGATCACAATCATATAACTCCTAGTAAACAAAACAGGAAGCCAAATGTATTTTTCAAACATTATTATATGTTAAAATTAGAGCTGTATATACCTATTGATTTTCCTGACTTTCTGTTTGTTTGTTTTTTGTTTCTGGAGACAAGGTTTCCCTGTAGTCCCAGCTGGCCTGGAACTCCCTATGTAGACCAGGTTGGCCTCAACTGCACAGAGATTCACTTGCCTCTGCCTTCCAAGTGCTGGAATTAAAGGCAAGCATACACGACCATGCCTGGCAACTTTTTCTTTCTTTTTTTTCTTTTTGGTCTAATTGGATTGTATTTTTTGCTTTCATAATTTAGATAGTTATAGTACTAATTTACACTATTTTACTAATGAAAGCTATAAACTAAAGAAAATAAAACAAAATTTGAAAGATAATTTTTTTAACATAAGACAACAATTTCCTCATCAGCAAAATGGAAAGAAACAGTATTTACACTGAAAGTTTTCAATGGCATAATTCATGTTTGGTGTCTTGCAATAAAATATTTTCAATGATTAATATAATATTTACTGCTGTTAGTAGGACCTTCTTCAAGAATTTTTTACCAGCTGACACACAAAATCAAAAGGTTTCCTAAGGTTAACATTTTTTAAAACTTCCTTTTCAAGAATGAGTCTCACATTGCCCAGGCTGGCTTCCAATTTTTATGTAGCCCAGGATAGCGTAAACTCCTGTTGGTCCTCTTACATTTGCCTCTGAGTGCTGGGATTACAGGTGTATTCCACCACATCTGTGTAAAATCATTTTTATGCTATAAAAAGAATCTTGCTTTGAGTATCAGCATTTTCCACAGAAAGGAAGATGTTATGATTGTCTCCAAATCTTATTCAGTGAAAAAAGGGCCTCTATAACGTGGACAGTTTTATTTATCATTGTGTTATGTACTTGGTACAAAACAGCCTTCTCTTGGTACTTGGAGTTTCCAAGTTCTACTTCTCTGCTCCTCCTTACTCAGTTCATGAAAAACAAAGAGCATATTTGCTAGTTTGAAAGAACTCAGAGTTAATTCAGCACCCACTTTTTGTTAATATAGATTATACAGTATATATGATAGTATATAAGTATCCCATACTTATATTAAATATAGACATTATTACAGAATTATACAGTGATATGGAAACTTTTTGAATTACAAAGTTAGAAAGACTATTTGAATCTGATTTAAAAGATACACTAACTAGGTTGGGACATGGAAAATGAGCATGCTGGCCCATGAGAGACAGGTTATTATCTTACATTTCCAGTATCACTATGTTGTTTGATCAATACATACACGGAAGCATAGAGATTCTGAATTTGGAAGTAAGGTGAGTTTGTACACACTGGCCATTGGAAATCTTAGAAATTCCAACTTGATGTATCAGATTTGAGATAAATGAATATGCACTAGAAGCAATATAAATATGCTAAAGGTCTGTGACCAAGAGGATTTGGAATTAGAACAAGGAGATGACATTTGCATCTCCATAATTGCAAAGGTAAAAATCATGGCTTTTCCTATCTTTTTTTTCCACATTTATATATTGTTGCCCCATGTTATTCATGATGATTTGTTTCCAGGATTTCTCATTACATATCAAAGTCTGTTGATGCACCCATCCCAGATATTAAATGAGATAGCTTTTGCACATAACCTGCACACATCTTCCCATACTCTAAATTGTCTATAGATTTCTTATACTACCTAGAGCACTGTAAATTGTACATATTTATTTATTATAATGTGCAGTTTAAAAAATAATGACAAGAAAAATCCATTCATGATCAGCATGGGTGTATTTTTATGTAAGTATGCTGAAGTTGCAGTTGATTAAATCTATGGATGTGGAACCAATGGACATGCAATATACCAACACTAATACCAATAGCATTTCCCCTATTCAAGTATTGCTACTTAGTCAAGTAAACTTCAAATAGTACTTTGAAGAAATGTTCTGGAGCCCCCATTGAAAAGAAGGATGAAAATTGTGCTTCATATTTATCTTAAAAATCTGTCAGCTAATCTTTGAAGTTGTTCAAATGTTACATGCTAGGGTTAGCTAAGAAAGAGCTGGATTTGTGAGCCATTGCAATCAATGTGACACTGGCTCTGACTTTTCCTCTTTGTGGCTTAGTAGTGTCATCTCTGAACTAAGGTTAAATCATCAAGGTCATGTGCTATCATGCAGACAGAATGAAAATTACCGTATGCAAAGTACTAATCCCTGACCTAGAAAATACTTGAGATCTAGTTCTTACCTAAACCAGAACCAGTGTGCCCTGTCACACAACTCTGAGCAATAGAACAGTTTGTGACAGTTGCTCTCAAAATAAGTCTGCTTCATGGAAGGCACCTTTCTCCACTTTCTCCACATGTATGGCTAGCCCTCAAAACAATTTTTTATCATGTGAGAAAAACCAGCTTATGCAGCAGATATAAGCCAACTCTAGTCAAAGCTTTAGTGGTGGACTGCCCTTAGGCAGTTAAATCAGGAGTATCCTTATTAATTTAAGTATTTTCAGTATTGAATCCTTTCACTAAAATTACAATTTTTACATAAAAATTTCAATTGAGTAATTCTAAAAATACATCTTTTATGAAAGTTTAGATAGTATTATGTCCAATATTGCAGTGTGGAAAATGACAGCTGAGTCTTAAGGCACAACGACCTTGAATTTCCTGTAAGTTGGTTATCATTATTATTAGAGGTAAGAGTTTTAAGATGTCATGCAAGATTATTCTTTTCCAAATATTTTTACTATTCAGTATAACCAATACGGTGGAAATTGAAAAGTAGATTTTTAAGACCTATTTTTATTGAAATGTTAAATTTTAAAATGTATTTCTCTAGGAAGAAAAAAATTTAAAGGAACAGAAAAAGAATGACTCATGTTTCCTAAAGAAACTATTGAAAGAAATAAAAACTTGTTGGAATAAGATTTTGAACAGCAAAACATAAACATCGGATCCATGGTTGCAACCTCCAAGAATGTACCAGTTTATGCAGTTATGAGGGATTGAAATGCTCCCTGAAGTTGCTGAATGCCTCCCATCAGATGACAAGAGCAACTGAGAAATCCACATTGTGGTGTCAGAAGATGGACATAAGCAATGGGACTGATTGATGCAGTCAGCTGTGCACGTCATACACAAGGACATAGAGAAACTGCATCAATTTTGCAAAATCGAGCATTTCAGAAGACTGCAATAATACTTTTTAAACCTGTCCAAATATTTCAAAAGACCTCAAATCTATGAATATAATGGTTAAAAATTTAAATTACTGTTGTTTATCAAAATAATTTTATGGCCCACTGTGCGTCAGTCAGTATATGAAGAGTGGAAACCAACATCTTGCACTCTGGAGATATTAGAAGACTTACAGTGATGGACAACGCTCATGAGAACGTGAGAGTCACATACTTTAAAGCAGTATCAAAAAGCTGTTCAAGATATTTAAGACAGATATCAAGAGATGCACTTAAACATGAATGTGTAACACGATGCCTTCAGTAAACAGTATAGCAGGTATTTTTCAATAAAAATAAAGCATAATTTCAAAAAAATAGAAATGTACTTAGTCTAAGGATGCTAAACATTAGTATTGTTACTTTTGTCACTTATGTATAATGATTTGTCTTACTGAATTTTCAATTTGGGAGTATATTTTTAAGAGAATAATATATGTTAGACTTTGAATTAATGTGTGTATTTAATTTCGACATTATATCGGTATATAAAATATTTTCATACAATATTTCAAATTGCCTACTTTGAGTAACATTTCTTTTTTGATAATAAATGACCTATGTATTAACATTATCAGATTCCCTTAATCTGAAGAGAATGTAAACATATTGCACCTCCATATGATCTTTGACTTTCATTTAATGGGTGGCCTTTAACACATTATTACCAAGACTCAACATGAGACTAGCACTCCAAAACTGTGTTAATAGAAGGAACACTCCTTTCTTTTTAGAAACAAGATCTCATTGTAGCTCAGGCTAGCCTCGATTCTCTATGAAGCCTTGAAATGGAGTCAGCTTGTCTCTGCCTCCCAAGTGCTGGGATTGCAGGCTTGATCCATCCTGTTACACTAGGGTCATGATTTTTTGGTGATAAATTCTTGTCTTTTAAAAGACACCTGTGTAGACACCTGTTTAGATGCTTCTTTGAAACATCTGGACAGTCTTCATTCACTCTTGAGAAGTAATGCACACACTACTCTAAGCAGGCCAAAGTTGTAACAGAGTTGCTAGATTACATTTTGCTGAATTAGGCCTCCTTCCAGCCCTTTCACAGTCGCTCAGCATCTAGTTATATGCTGAGTGTTTATACTTATGCTCCACTGGCACATTCCAAGTGTGGTGGCTTGGCCTTCCTGCTCCTTCTCATTCCCAAATCATATAGAGGTCATCTTCAGTGGTACAAATCTAGCATCAAAACAGTTTTGAATGAAGTACCTTTTTAAAATTTTTCCTGCATAATCAGTTAGTCCAGAAAATGAGTTATCTGAGTTTGTTAGAAACAAATGATTCTTCACAAAATGTTCTTCAAATGGACTTTGCTAAACATGCTATGATTCCTCTTTAAAGTAGTATCTACTAAGTGGCCCTCCTCTACCCTGAAGAACTGATGGTTGGGGAAGCCATCAGTTAGAGAAAGGAGGAAATCTGTATTGTCTAAAGGTAAACTCTTAACCTGCAGGGCTGTGTATAATGTTCCCTAACAGTGCTGAAAAATATTCTGATTGTGGCCAAATAAGAGGCAATATTTTTAAATGCTTATTAAATGTTATTAAAATTTCTTCTTTGGTTTTTATTATTTGTTCCTGATAGACTTGCATTCTAGAGAATGCAATAGTTTGTTCAACATATAACAACAAAGTTTGTTATTCATACATTTCTGGCTATGTCTGCCTTATTGTTTCCAAACTACTAGCACAGTAGGTAGAGGCAAAGGAGGCTGGTTACTAATCACACTGAGTTTATTTTCATTCTAATTACACAGTTATAGAGATTTGTCTCAATGAATGTTTTTATTCAAATATGTAAGTAAATACTTTAAAGGAGTATTTTCTAAGACTCTCTAATTCTTAATGCTACCTCAATAAAACAACCTCAATAAAATTAAAATAAGTAAAGTTAAAGAATTAGAAGGACACTACGTTTTGAGACATACTAGTTTCTCCACGATGAAACTGAGGGTTCACAATTCATAAAGATATTCAATCCTCTGTAAGTTATTCATACAGCTTTAAAAGTTTAGCAATATATCACTTTCAAGTTATGTGATTATAGAATGCCACTTTTAAATAAAAGCCACTAGCATATCACCAAGTAAAAATAGCTAACATAAAGGCAAAATAATAATAAGTGAAAATCACTTCTTACAAAGGATTCCAGGTGAAAGTATTTTAAAAGGGCTTTGTGGCATAATCTAAATTTCAGCTTTACTACGATGACATTCTAATTAGTGGCACAAATAGCTTGTCTCAAATTTAATTTTTAAGACTGGGCTTGAGTTAATTTAGAGGACATTTGTTCCCCTAGAGATCTCTTGGAAGCATCTATCTCCTGAAACTGTGCTAATGGAACTGTTCTGCAGGAACTCTTTCTCTGGAACTATGTCCCTAGTTTGGCCCCACTCATAATTTTATTCAAAATGGTTTCTCCAGCTTCAATTGGGAAGTACAGGCTTGGCTCCACCCTGATCTTAACAGACCATTGAGCCTTTTAGTCCCTAGTTCTACATTCACCCAAGGTCATATGTCCTTCCCAACCTCCACTGTGTGCTGTGGAGATGGGTGCACTGTCTTTCGGCACTTTGATATGTTAATTCTCGAGCACATTCACATTCATTCATTCATTACCTTTTTCAGTGGAGTACCAAATTGAGCTTGCAAGGAAACTGGGATCAGGTGTCCAAGATACAAGACACATGAGCACATGGTTTTACTGTCCATTTAGAAAAGTCATTTCTACACTGAACACATATTCTTCAGGGTTAAGATAATTATTTTTTAAATGAATTATCTTTGTGCATGCACATGTGTGTATATGTGTTGTGTGTAAATGCAGGTTCATGTGTGCCATAGTGCAAATGTGGAGATCAGAGGACAATTCTGGGTGTCATTTCTCTTCTTCCATTTGCTGAGAGCGGATCTTGTTTCTCTGCTGCCTATGCACACTAGTTGGCCTGTGAGCTTCTAGATTTTCCTCTCTGCCTCCCATCTTAGCATAGGGGAGCCAATATTACAAATGTGGAAAACTGAATCTGGCTTTTTGCATGGATCAAATTCAGGTCATCAGGCTTGTACAGCAAGTACCTTTATCAGCTGAGTTTCCTTGGTCCAAGATAATTATTTTTTAATTGATACAAGATTATACAGATTTCTGAGACACCACATGATGTTCTAGTGCATGTAACACTGTGTAATGTTCAAATTTCCTCATGTAATTATCACCCCTTTTGGTGAAAAGATTTTTCTAGGTTTTTAAAAATATAAAGTGCATTATTGTCATTTATCAACAACATGTTGGACAATAGAGCACCAGGACTTATTTCTTCTTCCTAACTGTGTTTTAGTACTAAATTACCAACTTTCTTCATCCTGCTAATTCCCCTACAATTGAAGCATGGGAAGCCAGAACCTGAGATGTTTCTTTTCTAGTAGGACATACATTCATTGACAGCTGGTTTCAGGACATTTTGTCAATCTTACCATAAATACTTCTCTAAAACATATACCCTATCCCTTAAGTCAAATGGTCTTTATGTTGCTTTGTACTAGTGTAACCATCATGTGTTTATCAGGTTCTTAATTCTTAGAAATTTATCTAACAAATTCTGTGCAAATCCTGCTAATTTTTCAGGGGTCATCTCTATTCCTTTATCCTTAATTCCTTTATCCTATTAAGTCTGTGTTAATCCCAGTTACTGCTAATATGTGTTCCTTTGATTTTTCATGGGCCTTTATTTCAAGGATCATACATTACTAACCATATTCTTCGTAATACTTTGTTTTAAATATAATTATTATGCAAATTTGTTTGTTGAAATGTTTTTATCTCCTCTGAAAGACTGTTTCATTCTTGCCATCTATTCAGCTCTTAATGGGAAAGTAGGTGAATCACGTTATGCCGGCTTCATATTAAAATCCCCTTAAATAACCCAGAACCGTGTTCTAGACTGAAATGTATTTTTGCCAAAGAGAGGGATCTGTGACAGTACAACAAAACAAAAATAATACAACTGACTCCACAGCTTTGAGCTCTCAATGCCCCCCCACAGTATTCTGACCTCTAAATGCTATTTCCTGTCAAACAATTCTCAATCTGAATTGTGAGAAAATAATAGAATCTATACAATTATATCATAAGAGAACAAAATGGTGCAATGATAACTGACAATTCCCAAACATTTTAATATCCAGATATAAAAATAGCTGGGTAGAGTGGTACACATCTGTAGTTCCAGGTACTCTGGAGGTTGAGGCAGGAGGATTCCTTGAGCCCTGGAGTTTGCAACCATGCTGGGCCATATGATGAGATCTGACTATCTGTGGTAAACACAACTTGAAGAACATCCGAATCCACTGCTTTGAATCAGCCTGAACCACAATCCAACATGAATTAGTTTCAGATGATTATGAAATAAAAGTAGTGAAGTCTATCTTGGGCATTGGTAAGCCAAAGACCTGAAGGAACAACAATCATACTGGGGAGTAAAAAATGGACATCCGAGATCAGAAACTCACCCTTCTAATCTCTATGTAATTTGTTGAAAACTTTCTCAAGATAACAGACTGTAGGGGTCTCTGTCCCTTGCATGTGAAACTGCCTTTGAAATTATTTTACCATAATTAATGAGGATATAAGAAAGGCAAGTTCATTTATGAACATTAGGTACTATATACTAAAATATAGTCACTGTCCAAATTTTATCTCCACAGTTAAGAGCAAGTAGTTGAGTCAAGGGCAGACGGTTCATACATTTGTTCTGGTGACTGCCTAAGAATGGGGGATTAGTGGACTAACAGCAGTGCTATAAGGTAAGGAAACATCTTTTATATTAGATAGTGGAGGAATACGAATCTCAGTTCATATCATCTTTCAGATACATAGCATAATAGTTTTCTGAAAACTGAGTACTAAAGAAACAAGTGATAGACAGCTACTTTAGGGAGGAACAAGACGACTATATCTTGCTTGCTTTGCTTTCTCACAAACTGGATACTGGAGTCCACACTTAGAACACATGCCTAGTCAGATCTTGCCATTCTCTTATTCTTGCCTTATGCTGAGTAAGTCAAAGGCACATGATGGTTTCTCATGAGAACACAGGGTCTTGTGTATTCCAGGCTGTCCTCAAACTACTTACAGAGCCAAAGATGGCCATGAACTCCGGATTCTCCCAATTCTACCTTCCAAGTGCTGGGGTTACAAAGGTATGGCACTGATGTGCTTCATGCTGTGCTGAGACTGAACCCAGGGCTTTGTGAATGTTGAGAAAGTACTCTATCAACTGAGCTGTACCCCAGCCCCAATTCAAGTACAGAAGCAAATCAGAGGAAATAACTCAATAAGCAAGTACACTAAAAAATGAGACTAACTCACCCCTTTTAGCTTCGTGCTCAAATAACACTTCCT